TACTAATTTGGTGTTCCTTGCTAGAACTGTAGTATAATGGGCCCCCAAACCCTATTCTAATTATTAAGGCCCTTATATTCCAGAGCATGACTCGGAACTGAAAACGAAACGCATGATGGCGCAGCATGGATTTCTGAACCACTCGGTTACCTCCTACCTACTCCTCTGCATCAGGTCAACCTCAGAACCCAAAGTTCTCGACAGTCACGAAATGGTCATCTCTTCATGATGCCACATCGCCCCAACCTAGCTAGAAGCTCGAAGCCCTGAAGTACCCAGTGAGCCAAGGCCAATCTTGTGAGTGGCAGCTTCTTTCGCCGGTCATGGCTCGTGCGTCGCTATTGCGGTTCCATCTGCGACGATACGAACAGGACTTCTTTGCGAACCCGAACCCGAACCCTCTCTCTCTCTCTCTCGCTCCCAGGCCCGAACCCCAAACCTCCAAACCGACCGAAGGAAGGCAAAAACCGAAGGCAATGGGAGTGTTATTGAGAGTAAACGTATCAGGAGCTTCGACCCGAAAGCCCCCATAAGGCCCTAAGTCCTTGCAGGGGGCCTTGAGACACGAGGTGCTCCTTGGCTCCAGAAGTCGTGCCAACAGCCTGGTTTCAAACTTCATAATACGGTTTTCGCATCTGTCCGACTGTGCTGATTATATCTTATGACTATAGTACATAAAGGTATAGCTATTGCTCGTGTTTCACAGTGCGAGATCGAGCCCTGCTAAGAACGCACTGCAAGGGCGGGTGTTGTTGCTCCCTGTAAGGGAGTGCTCTGACAAGTTGCATATGTGTGTTGGGTCTAGCTCGTACATGCATTGGTGTCCCGACCCCTCTATCGCTCCGAACCCGAAATTTTGCATACGGATCCTTGTTACCGCTTCGCTCTCGCTCCGATTGCCTGCCGACTGCTGGCATAAATCCTCGAAGCCCTCAACGGAGCAAGAGTGCCCAAAAAGCACCTCCTTCAACTGGCTTCGTGCTGTGGCGAGGAGCGGACGCCTCAACCGTCAGGTTTTGCTTGGCTTTTCGAGCTTTGTGATCGATTTTGTCATTTCAAAGGGTCTAGGGTCGTCAGAAGGTTCTATAGGGTCATGGTTTGGGGCCCTCAGGGCCAATTCGGGTTTGGCCTTGGTCGGGCCCTAGGCTTTTGACTTTTGACTGCGTCATGCAAAGAAGGGAACCTGACTAACAAAGGACACTTGGGGCTTGGAGTGCACCTTTGCATGACACGCGTGGTCCGAAATCCTGATCGAATCAATCCTTCCTACTTGAGGGATTCTGACACCTGACCCGCCGAAGCTCCTGGAACGGGATCTACGGCCGTGGATCCGGCTAGGCCAAACTGTCCCAGAAGCGACGAAACGGGGGTACAGGTCTATGCATAGTTCGAGTTGCAAATCGTCGGGCACTGCGTCGATGGTCTCCTCAAATACCAACAGCGAGTGCTACAGCGACTCGCCATTGATGAGCAAGAATGGCGGGGATTGAGAAATTTTTGTGTTGCAGTATTTGAAGATGTCCGCGATGCCAACTCAGTCCTGACTTCACAGCCTTAAACCGTACTGTACATATCTACTCCTACAGCAAATCATCCTAGCCGGCCGCGCACAGCCTCAAAGCCGCCGTGGCCCGTAGCTTCCGAAATCTACAAACCTGCTGCGGTTGGGGACGTCGGGCCTCAATCTGGTGTTGGACTTGGGGTCAACGCTGCATTCTAAGGTGTGCTGATCAGGACTCAGGATCGCCGGTGTTCTGCCAAAAGGTTTAAACCGTAATCTTTCAACCCTGAACCCGAGCACGGTCTCATGCCATCAGCATCAGAGAGAAGCTCATCATCACCAAGTTGGTACGACCTGTTGCCAAGCGACATGCTTTGATTTCCAAGCCTAGTAAAGCCCTGATAGCATCAGGTCCAGCCATGCCAGCAGCGAGGTGGGAGCATGCCGCGCCGGATCGCGGAACCCGCTGTCCTTTCTCGCGTGCCGTGGGCTTCGGGCACATATTCAGGTCAGAGTTTCTTGCACTGAGAGACATGAACCCTGCACCCTGGTTGAAGTGATTCAGCAGGAAGGCCGCGCAGAGGCATGTTGAAACGATGCATCAAGTTCGCCGGGATTGGCCGATGATGGCCGTACCACCAATGCACTTTAGTGGTGGATCTCGGTTCCCTTCTTGGTACCAACCCGAGCTGCTGGATTTGGATCCGGAAGCTTGAGGATTCTCCTTATAGACTGCTCATTGTCGCAGTGAGGACGCAGGGTGTTGTCCAGCACGTTCTTCAAGGACAGCTGAGGTGAGCTTTCCAGAAGACTTCGGTCGCACTGATTAGTAATCCTGCTTCGAAAGCTGCGATAGAGGTAAAGATCTTGACATTGGGCGAAAGCACTAGACGGAAAGCGAAGTCTGCGGAGTTGACGTAGGCTTCCGGCTCTCGCACGATACCCTTTACGACAGGAATGGTAGTAGCTAACACCTAACTGTCTCACTATTTTCTTTCTGAATGCTCTCGTTGCGACCACGACAACAACGACGACAAAGACGACGGCCTCCGCTACTGTTCTATCGTTTTTGTGGAACCGAGCCTAGGTTGCAGGCGAGACTCGGAATCGCAGAAGCCTGGAGTTCAGTCACTGTGAGAGTTGAGGGCTTCATTGGGGGCGGGGTTGGGGGCCTGGGTTCGTGGGGGGGGGGGGGGGGGGGGGAACTGTTCCTTACATGTGCGTGTATACATACATATACACACATCTTGTATAGATCTAGAGATATGTCTGTATGTACGTGTATACATACAGGAATACACTCTACACCACGTGGAGTCCCTGAGTTGTATGCTGCCTGTAGATGCCAGCATGTTTCACCTCTCGGATTTCTCATCTGCCCTTAACCATGCATTCTTCAGGGGACCTTTAAAGGGGTAGGGGGAGGGGGGTTGGGGACTATATTCCCTTAAACGGGCCTAATGGCCCCCTGCTCCCCCTCCCCCTAAGGGTCCCTATGAATTCTTGGCTTGGTCCAAACAGGTTCGTCCTTTGCTTCGAAGAGGATGCTTGCTAGCCTTTTCTACAAGAGTTTGCCTAAAAGGCCTCGTAACCCCTTTAAAGACGGAACAGCATCAGTATATCTAATATAAGGGCCTTATTATTGGAACAGGGTTTTGGGAAAAATTACACAATACTTATACTAAGGAAACCACTAAAATACAATTGGTAACCATTAAGGCCCCTATAGTACAGTGCGGAGGACAACTCCGGCTAATTCATGCCTCGGGGCTTTCCCACGCCTTCTTCATGCCTTTCTTCTTCTGCATCTGCTTGACCTTGTTCACCTGCGGCGGTCTTGGTCAAGGCGAGGCTCGTGGAATTCGGAATCTCGCCAAAAAATCCTACAGTAGTTTAGAGATTAGAGATCAGGGCTTAACCCTAGATCCTACAGATCCCAGACCCGTAACCCTAGACGAAAACCGATAGATCCCGACAGCTCTGAAGTTGGACATGGCGAGCTGCGAGTCGCAACTGCATTGCTTCAGCCGCCCGTTCCATTGGGTCGCGTTCGGCCTCCAAGCGGCTTAGGCTAGCAATAGAAATCAATTAGGGCGTGCGTGGGTTAGCGTTTGCATTTTGAGCTTGCGGGAACAGTTTTGGCGCAAAGGTCGCCGCTTCTTTTTAGAGATCGGGCCGGAGAGTTGCAAGGATGCTCTGAGCTTCGGGCAGAGTGCCGTAATGGACTCAGAGAATGTTCCCACTTTTCCGATTGAACAGGGATTTACAAGTAGCAAAGATGATCTGCGACAATGATGACGCTGAAATTACAAGCCTTGTGACGGCATGCTCGAAGCCTACACAAGTCTTTCCTTAAGAAAATTTAACCCTAAAGGCCTTAAATTCCTGAAGCTCAAACTAAGAATCCCTGCAGACAAACAGCCCGATTCCAGCCTCGAAGCGCTAACACATGCTGATGCCCGGCCCTTAGGGAACCCTTCCGGTCACCTTACATACACCCCTAAGGGTCCCTTAAAGGGTTCTTTAATACAACGGATCTATGAGGGAATTAAGGAATATACCCTATCAGCTTATAATCCCTTCCCCCATTTATTAAGCAGCTCCCTGCTGTTAATGTATGCCGTTTTCGGAAAACCTCGCTGACATCATCCAAGACTTTCAAGCCTACCTTGAAGTTGGAGGGCTCAGGAGCAAGAACAGGATGGGAGCAAGCGCAGGAGCAACAGCAAGAGCAGGAGTAAGGGCAAGAGCAGCAACAAAGCAGGAGCAACAGCAGGCGCTTGAGCAAGAGCAACATCTCTCCAAAGTGACGGTAGAGATTAAGAAGCGTTCTAATAAGAAGAACACTGGACCACCCCGTTCCATATTCGGGGGAGGGGATGAAGCCCAATCCGTCTGTCTACAGCCGCTCCGAAACCCGAAATCCTAAGCCCATGAACCCGAAACCCCAGGGTTCCTATACAGGGCCCCAAAACAGCACATAAGCAAACATGAGGACAGGGATATCCCATATAAACCCCCTTAAATTCAAGCCCAAATAACAATGGGATATGGATATCCCTACAATAAAACATGCTTATGCTTGTGCTTTTTGGGTCCCAAACAAGGCTTCTAGAGCCGACTGCCAGGGCCTCACCGCAAAAGGAGCGCCAGCAACGGCGGCAAAACCACCGATCGCCTTCGGATCTTTGGGTTTATAGGGCTTAGGGTCTTTAAAGGATTTTGGATAGTTCAGGGTTTAGGCTTTAGGGTTTAAGGTTCTTGAATAAATTTGGGATGGTTTAGGGTTTAGGCTGTCCACTCCGAGCGAGGCATGTGTCGATAAGCCTGTTGGGTGAAACTTCTCTATACAAGGACAGACAACGGCAAACCCAACGGTTTACACTCTCACAACTCGAGGCTTATCCGGCGTGGTTCATTTCAAGGTTTAGGGATTGAGGGTTAGGGCTTTCGGCCCTGCGGATCAACAGGCACGCAAGACTAGGGTTCGGGGCTTGGAAATTCAACCGCCTGGTCCGACACCCAACAAACTTCACCACCGACTGCACAAAAAACGCCCTTGAATCTTCCTTGCAGTCACATTGCAGCTGACGCAAACCCAGATAACAAATCATGTATCATACATTGTGTCGAGTATGCAAAATCTACATAAACCCATACTACATAATGTACAATTATAACACGCTTAGACTTAAACCCGAAGCCCCGACGTCCCATCGCAAACACTCGGGATTTCAGCCTTAGGTCAAGTAGAAAGTCTGAGATGCCCTGTTTCGAACTTTCAAAACAGGCCCCGTGCAGCATGCTTGAAAACGCCACAGAAAATTATTCAACCAAGGAGTGAGTTAGAGTTCCAAGAAAGAACAAGCTCGAAGACAAAAGCTCCACAAGCCCTTCAGCCTTAGTCCCTACAAGCCCTGTCTCATCGGTTCTGAAACCTACAGGAAGAAACTGTGCTGCAGCTACAAGCCCTTTGAACTAAATTCTACACCCTGTAAGCCATGTAACGGCTACACCTCCTGGAAGTCCCTGAAGACTACCCTACAAACTCTCTACAAACCCCAAACCTTATCCGATAGTACGAAATCAAACCTACATTTGGAAATTTCCTCAGTCTTGAATCTTACTATGACATCACACCCTAACCTTTAACGGTATTCTGAACTTAAAACCTAAACCGTTAGAGTGGGAATCCGGCCGGGGCGCTGTCTGGACCCTCCCCTTGCAAGCAGCGGCGCCCAGTGAGCCAGCCCGGGTGGCCTCAGATCTCCAGGGTTTCGGAGGAGTTTCGTGTAAAAGAGATGTTCGGGTTTAGGGCTTCCTTTAAAGGGATCTTTCAGGGTACCATAAGGGATCTATGGGGGTTTAGGAAGCTTTGGGCCTTCAGGGTTTAGGAAGCTTTGGGCCTTTAGGGTTTAGGGCTTCAGAGCTAACAGCCACCCTAAACGAAACCCGGAACTCTAAGCCCTGAAACCCGGACCCTAAGTGCTACAAGTAACCCCCAAACCCAGTTTCCGTTTCGAGGACAAGGCACGACACTCGGTGCACAGTCGCCAGTCCTTGCTCATCCGTGCAAGCTTTGAGTTTGAGGGCCACGGTGGAAAACATGGATTCTGCGAACACAGTGTAAAACGTTTCCATGTGCCTAGCACCTTTAAAGCTTACCTCTCAAGAACTTCAATTTGCAAATCCCTCAATTCTATGGGTTCCCAACTCGCATTTGCCACTCAGCATCTGAATCGAATAATACAGGGGCCTTAAAAATTAGAATAAGGTTTTGGGGCCCACTATACTATACTACCACACTTCTAATAAGGAACCCCCACACTCTCTCTCTCTCTGTCTCTCTCTGCCGTGCCATCATCAAGAATCTCGCAATGCAAGGGCACGAAATAGTATTGGAAATTATTTAAGCCCCTACACTACAACCCCTAAGCTGACAAATGTTCCGGAAGCATTCGTCGAAAGTAAGGAGGCGGCCAGCCGCGTCTCGTCAGCATCCGCGGGCCTTTGACAATGTGGTGGTTGTCAAAATTATGGTCCCTTTTTGGGTCCCTAATATACTACGGCACTTAATATTTAGGGTGCCCACAAACGGGCCCATATTTTGGCCACTACCCAATGGAACACGCAGGTGCGAAGGGCAAAGATGCCCTGTTGCCCCTGAGTCGGCTGCGTCTTTCGATAGTGACAAGACGGGGGAAAGCAGTGCGAAGCTCTCCACGACTGTAGCGTGAACTGTTGTGCAGACTTGAGCTTGCAGACAGGGTCCAGACGGGGCTAGTCTACTCTACTCTGCCTGTATGCCCTTCCGCATCCACCACAGAATAACGGACCTGGTTTCAATTCCCGCACTTCCCAGCCAATTCTGCCACGAAGCTTTCAACAAAAATGGGACTTGCTGTAGTTTAGGGCCTCGGCGTTGAGAAAACATTTAGCCAAGCCTTACTGTAATCTTTAGCATAATGAACATAATAACAACAGGTCAACTGTGATATCAAACGCAATTTAATGTGTACGGCCTGACTTTGAGCCTCCGGCCACCATGTTGCCACTCTTGGCCGCAGAATCTCGTCTTGGGCTTCCTCCGGCCCTTCGCAACGGTCTGTATTCCCCTCCCTCTTTACACAGAACTAACAAAGGGGTCTTCATAATCAGTACAGGGATTTGAGGTTAATACTAAAGTCTACTATCTTGAGAATCAGGACCCCCCGCAAAATGGTGTTGATAATTCTTTAGGCCCCTATAGTTCTCTGTAACATCAACACACGCTCAGACACTGCGACGAACCAACCGGTGCAGACATCACGAGCAGAAGAGGAGCGCCCGAAAAAAACACGCGAACACTTCCAGTCGCTAAAGGCTTGAAAGTCTAGACTGGAGAAGGAGTGTTAGTAGTAGCAATAGTCATACTACTAGTAATAGTATGAATAATAGCAGTACAAGCAGGTCTACTACCAAGTAGTAGCACGATACAACCGTAGTAATCGCAATCGGAGGAGGCAATGGTTCTGGCTGAAACTGGATGCCGGCTTGGGTCTTGGGGAGGCCACCGGATCTCGAAGGTTCATTGAACGCGGCAGCAGGGCCGGGGCCGGGGTTTACTTACAGAGCATGGCAGGTAACACACCCTGCAATGCAAGTGGCACGAACTGTCACCACCGCCGCCTGATGCTGCTAAGCGTTGCATCGGGTGCTTTGTACTCGAGAGGTGTGGCACCACAGTGCCATTGATGGCTTTCAACATCTTCTTAGCACACAAGCCGTAGTATGTTGCTTCTTCTCCGAATTCATTCGAAGCCGCTTTTTTGAGCTGACGACTTTTAGGGTTATGGGCTTTAGAGGCCAAGCCTTCGAGTTCCAAGCACCGGGGGTAGCTGCAAAGCTCCCCACCTCAAGGATTCGGCTTCGGCGGGTTTTGGATTTAGGGTTTAAGGTTTTAGGATCTAGGGTTTTTATGAGTTTAGGATCTGGGATTTTAGGTTTTAGTGATTAGGGTTTTCGGCTTTAGGGTTTCAGGGCTCGCAGAAGAGGGCTCCTTGAGGTGTGCATAGACGGGTTGCGGAAAGGGGTTAATATGAAAGCCTTGATGCTCATGCTCGTAATAGGATTTTGGGGTGGATTCGTACATATGATACGTGTATCATGTTCTAGTATAGCTAGCTAAGCCAAGGACTCGGCATGTTTGTCGAGTTTGTAGTTGCTTCATGCCCTTTCGGGGTCTGATTGCGGAACTTGAGCCAGGAATCAGGGGCCAAACCTTAGGCTGGGGCATAGGCCGACACTGACAGCAATGGAACATCTATGCTGTTCCCACAAAACCTGAACGAAGGTAGACAACGCTCGCGAAAAATGGTCTTGTCAATGGACCAGTGTTGAACTAAGTACTTGAAAAGGAAACCGTATCTCGAACCCTCCAGTCCGGCGCTCATGCGAGCTGTATCTGGAACTCTGGTACAGCACTCTCAAAAAGCCACGGTCGCCGCACAAACAAACCCTGGGGCACGAACGCAGGGGACAGCCACGCCGGTGATTCACTATCCACCGCCAGGTAATGTTGATCCGTGGAGGCCAGAAATCTGCCCGCCTTGGAGCTGCTACTTCGTCATGCTTGGTCTGTTCTGGATTGACAACTTGGCTGTTTTTGCTACGTCGCATGCGAAAGGCATGCTATCCACTGAAAGTTGTGTCTGAACGATCAAAAACTGACTCTTCTTGCGAGATCGTTTGTCGTGCACGGGCCTACGAAACCTGCAACACATTCGCCAAGGTATGGTAATGCAATGCTGAGAAGAATTTGGAGCCAGAAAGACCCAAGTATGTGTTTGCACGGAACCTATCTGGCCCGCGTTAGCAAGAGGCCAATAAGTGATGCCACCCGAGTTCTCTGATTCGCAAGCTACTCTTGTGGTCCATGGGCCGACATTGACATCGTCTCTACAATGCATGCCTACACACAGGTGAATGTTCCTCGCTGCTTGCGAAGGCACTGTCGCGGCTCCCGCGTCAGGAAGTGCACGGTGTGCTTTTGCATCATGCCTTCCTCGACATCGGCTCGCTGGAACAACAAACAAACATGCCATGACCTCGAAGTGAGAGAGTAGAGTGCATCATGACTTGAAACTTCCCGACTGCCACACGATAATTTCAAGACCCTCGAACACCCTTGAAAGACCATTATGGCCAAAACACGTCACCCTTTTCCCACATCTCAACTAGGAGTTTGAGGAACTATGGGACTCTGCTTGAGAGAGTGGAAGACCGTTAAGCATCACAAAACTTGGGCTGGGCGGGCCCTAAACCCTAAACCCTAACAAACAGGTCCGACCTCGTAAATCCTTCGCGGAACCCTTTCAGATCCCTGAAAAGGGCCCTTTACAGATCCCTGAAACGGACCCCAAAAGTCCCTGAAAACATGCCGTTATATGTGAGTTTCCGGAAATAGGGGACCTTAATATGGTACCCTAAATAGTAGGATCCTTATTATAAAGATCCCAAAATACGGTACCCCCAATTTTCGGAAACTCCCATATAGATCCCTTCACAAAGGGAGCCCTTACTAGGGCGAGCTCCATACTCAGCAGATCGCCGTGGCGGAGGTCGACTTCCACGATGCTCTCCTTCGAAGCTCGGGTCCAAATTCTTTGGGAATACTATAGGACTAGAAGTGGGTATCTGTTCCTGTGAGGGGCCCATGAGGGTGCTACGAGGGTTTGAGGATATTCGGGTGTAGGGCCTGGCGCCTAGAGTTTCGACTCGCACACTCGCTGGACGCAGGTACGGCTTCATGCCTAGAGTTTAGGGATTGAAGCTAGGGTCAGAGCCTTTGGAGAGAAACCCCGGTCTTGGCAAACTGCGCAGCACCGTGTCTTCGCCTCAAACATACAAAGAGTGAACAACCCATGTACTTTGAAAAAAGGATATGACCAAACACAGTTTTTAAAGGTACCTTGATCCTAAGCACCTGAACGGTAGCTTCAATGAAAGCCCTCGGCCGGTGAATCACCCAAAACCGTATGAACCCCTAGAAGCTCTAGATGCCCGTCCTGCAAAGGCTCGGTGCCCTCCGCCTTGAGCGCAATCCTTCCACTCAGGGGCTCTCTCAACCAGGGTCCCTCGGTCCCTGGTCCCGAGACAGCTTAGTGACGCCAGGAGCTTAGGTTTTTGGTCAGAGTAAAAGGATTCGGTTCACTTACTATAGGGGCCTTAATAGCTAGAATAGGGTTTCTGGGATTCCTGATTGAATGATAATTAAAGTAAAAATATACCCCGAAACCCTTTTCTAATCATTAAGGCCCCTTTGGCACTGGATTTGCACCCGGCGTTCTGTGGCTCCCTTTCTTTCGCGGTGCACATGTTGCACCAAAACCCGACACCATGGTGCGCTTTCGGTGTCAGAGCAGAGCGAAGCGCGTTATGTCGCCTTCGCCTTCGATTGAAGTCTCCAGAAAGCTGGGTGGTTGTCAAAATTATGGTCCCTTTTGGGGGTCCCTAATGTAGTACGGCACCTAATATTTAGGGTGCCCAAAAAGGGACCCCTATTTTGACAACCACCCAGCTGACAGGGCCACACAATTCGGCATCTTTCTTTCATGCTGTCGCGTTCAGGCCGCCGTTGGAGTGGCCTCGTTTGCCCGAAATTCCGAGGAACCCTCCCTACACAGAGTCCTGCTTTGGTGCAAAAATCTGAAGGGAAGCTGATGCTCCCGTAGGGTGGCTGCTGAAATGCAGAGAAGTGCGCGTCAGGTGCTGCTATTCCGCTGGGAATCGACCATATCACTTGCAACCATGGCTGGCAAGCGCTTACAAAGCAGCTTTCTACGGAGCGACGACATTTTCGAACTGGATTCAGGATGTTGGTACCAAATTAGTCGAAATCGAAGCTCTTCTTCCAGAAAGGGGTCTGGGGCTAAGACCACACCACATTGTAGACTGAATTGCCGACTCATATTCCGCCGATGCCCACAACGCAAACCCGGTCCAGAACTCCCGCCGTCCGCCCAAGGACAACGAGACGATGGAGCAGTCCTGCTCTAGCTTGTGGACTTCCGGTTCGGGGTGCAAACAGAAGCGTACAATGGAGAGTTATATACATATGTATATTATATGCATGTATGTATGTATGTACTCAATACACATATTTATATGCAATATAGAAAACATTAGAAACTAAATAAAGACCAGGTCGGGATCTCGTTACGCAGCACACTCGCAGATCCAAGTACCCCTCAGATGACGGAGAGTCGGCTCCTGCACCTTCCCCTGGAATAGGCTCTCGTCGTCCGAGTGCCAGCCGACAGATTGCATGCCGTCCTCCATAAGTGGACTGAGGGGAATGGGTGGGGGTTGGCCTGCCCCTACGTTCTCAAATGCTGGGCGAAGCTCTGCAAATGCATGCAGAAATCTTGTCGAAATTCCGGCGTTCCATGATGAAGGTCTCATGTTTAGGCTGAGGGACATGTGGGACCTACTCAGGAGATGGACTCTGTACTGTAGAGTAGGAAGCCGCCCGAAAGCTGAACCAGAGTCTCCTTGTGATCGTTGTCGCAACCCTGGGTATTGTAGGGGCCGGGTTTTTTGTGTACCTTATACTATGACCATGTTCTTAACCCCCACAATAGTATAGGTAATTATTCAGACCCCTATATTAGCCAGCCAGCCATGACCTGCCTTTCCATATGCCCTTCAATGAGAAGCAATGAATGCCCTCCGAAAAACCCAACCCAAGAAATGCTTGCAGTTGCCTTCAGCTATGCCAGGTTCACTCATGCCACTACCCCTGGAGAGAAGCCAATCTCAAGAGTAAGATGCAACTGATGCCTCGGCAGCAGAAACCGGCTAGAGTTTAGTTCATGACGGCGGTGGCAGTAGCAGCAGTTCCGCAGCCGTGCTAGCAGTAGCGGTATCAGAGTAACTGTGGCCGACAGAAAACATAGCCATCCCTGCACACGTGGCCAAGCCCCCACCCTCCCATCCCAGGCGGGGCCGCGTAGTAGTTCAGGTTCGCCGAGTTGGGCCAGTTTTTCCGACCTCTAGTTGTTGTTACCATTACAATTACTACTACGATTACGATTACTATTACTATTATTATTGCTATTATTTTTGTTATTATTATTGTATCTTACTGTCTTTCATAGTATCTTTCTTGCCACTTCCTGTTATTACTATTGCTAGTCTTACTATTAGTGCTACTAATATGAACTATAATGTTCTTAAAACTCGTGTTGATACCGTTATTCTCTTGATTATGAGTTCTATTGTTATTAATAATGTCACACCATAATGGCGCCCAAGACGGCTGACAATGCAATGAAGAAAGGAAAGAACATGAGCACCGAAAGCTTGAACTCGCAGAAGCTATAGACGCCGTCAGTGCGAGGACGTAGACACTATATTCACATCGTGGAAAAGTGTATCTACACTGACGATCAAAACGTAACAACAGGTAACCGACTCACAAGAAAAGGCAACAACCTCCAATACCCAAAACCCATCTCCCCTGAACCCTACAAAGCTAAAAGCCTGCAAATATATCCCTGAAGCCACCTGGCTGCATATTCTGCATTCACAGGGTCGTACAAAGCCCTTTCTGCCTTTCTGCAGGGGCCTTGACACCCGTTTAGAACAGGGCTGGTACCAAGTACGAGGGAATAATGATGAGATACTGCTGCTACTACTATGACTACTACTACTACTACTACTACTACTACTACTACTACTGCTACTACTACCACTACTACCACTACTACTACCACTACTACTACTACTACTACTACTACTACTACTACTACTACTACTACTACTACTACTACTACTGCTACTGCTACTGCTACTGCTACTGCTACTGCTACTACTACTACTACTACTACTACTACTACTGCTACTACTACACATTCAGACTTCCATGTGCGAGACTTCCACGACTGAGGCCATGTCTCAGCTTTGGAGTCAGTTGTGTGAAGATCAGCTCGGTGAGCCTTGAAGGCGTTTGTATGGTTTAATGTTGATATTAGAATAGGGTTTTGGGATCCATTATACTGGAGTTGTAATCAGGAACCCCCAGAATAGGCTTGGTGCTTATTCAGGCCCCTATATAGGGAACTTTGGGGCTTAAAGCCTTTAAGGGTTAGGGCTTAGGACCTTTCGGGTGGTTTTCGTGTCTGACGTCTTTTCTACCTGCACCTTTGCGGTTCCTGAGGTTTCGGGCTGCCCGGTCTGGCTTTGAGTTTTTGTGCATCCTGCGCCGCTGCACTGAGTCTACTAGGCGGGGTCGGGCTCTGGAGACAGCAGTTTCGACTCGCACACTCGTTCGACGCAGGCATGGCGAGAGGTAGCACTTCAGGGTTTAGGGCTGCGGGGTTGAGGATTATGATTCAGGGTTCAGTGCCATACTGTCTCGGCATCGGGCTGTACCGGGTGCATCTAATTCTACCGGGGTTCGAAGCTTCGTTCGAGGGATTCGAAGGGGATTCGAGTTGAGGTGCAGGAACTTCTGTTGTGGATGCATGCACTGTTTTAGATTGGAGTCGACTAATAAGAACCTTTACTATACTGAACTTAGAACCCTAGCAACAATTATAATTTTAGCTGTGTCTTAGGGATTATAATAACCAAAAATGAAAACAATACAGTATTTCTAAGTACCCCTAAGTTTAAGTGAACAAAGGCAATTGGAGCTGGTTTATAGAAGGCCCCTTTCAGGTGAAACCTCGCCTGGATCGGCTTCACCCTCAACCACGCCGTAGCAGAGTAGTTCGCAGGATAGAGGGATGCAGGATATAGGCATTTTAGACGCGGCTTAGAGCGAAGAGACGTCCTCTATAATCTAGACCGGGCTCAAAGATTTATACGAAACCCTTGACCGACAGCTCTGAAAGAGAACCCCGAAAGCGAGCCATCCCAAGCTTCGCTTAGCTGTTGTTCCAACTTGGGGTCAGACTATGGCAAGTTTTAGGGGTTAGGGTTTCATACTCAAGTAGACTTGACGGCAACCTGATTGGGAACAGCTCTCGATGACACGCTTTAAAAAGCTCTTGTGAAGAAAATGACCACTTCGTGTGTATGGGTTTCGGTAACGGTAACCCTTGTGTAACTCTCCGCATCTTGCTTCAGCTTGTGAGCGTCCAACATGTATCTACAGTATGTATGTATGAGTGTATGTATGTAGGTATGTATGTAAGAACATGTACATAAAAACACCCAGTCCATATCCCAAGACTGCTCGCAATAGCTCAGGGCAACTTCCAAACCCTCAGACCCTGAATGCTTTGTAGAATCACTTGCACGCTGTGCTGAGGCCGGATGAGAGGGGTGGGCGGGGGCCTGCAAAGGAGGCTGACGTTCTTCTCCCCCAGCTTCCTGAGGAGGCCTCTTAATAATCAGGGTGCCCTTTTTCCTAACAACTCAGGAACCTTGTCGCATAACCCTGTCATATAAAGGCCCCGTTATAGGTCCCCTTTTAGAGAGATCTTGGCCTCTCCATGCTCTCTGCGAAGCTCCCCGAAGATGATCTCCGAGTCAAGCTGACGCGGGCCTCAAAAGCGAAGCTTAGTGCCCCTAATACAAACATCGCAACAAAACAAATCCCAAATCCTAGCAAGTAATATGGGGCCTTAATACTCAGGAGGGGCCCATTCTACTATCCCTATATTAATAAAGCCCAAAGGAACCCATCGGAGAAAAGGGTCTCAAGAACCTGCGGGGCCATGATCCTTTAAAGGCACTGCCGGGATCCCGAATCAAATCCCAAGCTGGAGAGCGTGAGAGCGGACCGCATCGCACTGAAGAGCTGTCAAAGTTCGCAGCACTTCACTCTAATGTAGGGGCCTTGCTAGTTAGAATAGGGTTTGGGTACAGAATTAAAGGAGAGACTATAAGGGAACAGTTCAGCTTCTTTTGTTACTTCCACAGCGCACCGAGCAGCATCTCCGTAGGTGTAGTCGCAATTGCAGCCACCCCTTGCAAACCAGCACGTCGAGCGCATGACATGGCCCTTCCTACCTGGGAAGGCGATTGAGGGCTCTGATCTGCTGGGATGTACGAAATAGATATATACTTAACGTCGAGTCTTGCGATTTCGATTCGAAGCGGTAAGGCTCAGAGATTCAGAGAACCAAACAACTTCGGACGACGGGCAGTTCCGGAGATGCAGAGCCTAGCATGGAAGTCTCAGAATCGAACAGCGCATTGCCGACCAGGGAGCCTTACCGCCACAAGGGCCATGAACTAGAAAGCCACGAACCTATTTATTTGTATAGCCGACCCGAAAATCCTGCAAGACTTGCTATGGGGTGATGGTGAATCCACTAAGAGAGGAGACCCCGGGTGCTATCCCAGCTGAGAGGCTGCGCAACTGGTCCCACGGCGCGTGAGCCTGCAAAGCCAGGTTGTACTTCAGATTGTTTTACGATGCTCAGGCGCCTTTGGCTCCTATTTATCTCGCTATCTATCTACATACCTAAACCCTAAACGATAAGCCCGAAATCCTAAAACCCTGAGCCCCTACCTATGTATCTGCCCATCTGCCTCTCGTCTATCCATTCCCATCCCCGGCCTGCAGCTCATCGAAATACCTGGAGCTCGAGAGCTCAGGATCTTTAGGGCCTAGGGCCTAGTAGCGGGGCCTTGGTCTTCGAACAGGGGTTTGGGGTATGTACTCTGGTATATTTATAGCAGAAGTAGTAGAGGTGCCAAATCGAAATAAGGCTTGGGAGATATCTGTGGTACGCACATGTATAGCATGATTATGATCAGGAGCGCTGGGGAACATTACCTTTCATTATTCAGGGGTTTCGGCACTCACAACTCGCGCAATCCAGGCGAAGCCTGTAGGATTTTTGACGCTCACACTCGGACGGTGTCTATAACATGGGATTTCGGGTTCAGGGTTGACGGTGAAGGTTTATAGTTCAGGGTCTTGAGATAGTGGTTTTCACGGTTCTGTGTCGAAAAGGGTTCTATGATACTATAAGAGTGCAGGAAGATTCAGTTCACGGTGCAGATGGATGCAGGCTTAGGATTCAGGCTTGAGTTATGTTCGGTTGAGTTGGTGAAGGGCTTGCGGTTACAGAAAGGGTCAGGGTTTCAAGGGTTAAAGGCCTAGCTACTAGGTCACGGGGTGTATTGATGTTTTACAGGGTTCTACAAGTTTGAGGGTTTGGCCAGGATTATGGGTCGGCGCTTGTAGGGCTTGGGCAAGATGCATGACCTGCCGCATCGGTGCCTGTTGCATGTGCATGACCTGTGCTGTCATCATGGGCTCGTGCGAACGGAACCGGCCAAGCAATGATGCAGGACATTGCTTGGCCGGTTCCGTTCGCACGAGCCGGTGACAGCACAGGCCATGCACATGCAACACGTCCCGAAGACGCTGGACCTGTTGCGCGTGCAGCATCCCTAAACCCTTTTGCAGAAGGGACGCCTTGATGCTACTGTAATGGCGGGAGGGGGGGGGATGCGGGGCAGTAGCCAAGAAATAAGCCTAAATCCTGAACCGATAGTCTGCTTTAGTAAAATGCCCCCCGCATTCCTGCAGGTGCCCGGGGGGTGGCCTTCGAGCCAGCACGGCCCCAACAAAAACAAGGCACGACTATAGAATATAGCATAGAATTATTTGTTATACTTTATTATTGTTCATTATACTGTATAAGTATTTATTATACTTTCTAATGAAATACTATAGCATCCTGTGCTGTTCTTATCTTTGCTATAATTATAGCACAGTGTATGCTGCTCTATACCGTGCTATACTATACTGTAATATGCTCTGATGTACCGGGTCGCTTCCGGGTTGCGGGGGTTGTGCTTTCGAAGTTGCTTCTGCTCTGCGGTTTCAGCTCGTGTTGCCTGGCTATTTTGTGGTGGCTCTGAACAGTTTTGATCTTTCGCACTCACACCGGCGGAGCTTCTTCGTTTGTCAGGTCGAGGTCGATTGGTGATAGTTTTGGGAGAGGACAGAACCGCAGGGTCCAAAGCCCTCGTCGTTGGACGAGGAAACTAAAGCCTTTTGCAGTATGACAGCTGCAGTTCTTTGCTTATAAGGTCAGTTCCTCCAAAAGGCGTGGCTACAGATACGCACAGTGCGGTCAGAAGAACTTATATAAGACTCTCAGCCTGATTTCGGGTTACCCCTTGTGACTTGAATGTTCACTTCGCAGGTAGAGACCACTGAAGCCGTCTCAAGGGAAAGCGACTGAAACCTTATACACCAGGCTCTACATGCGAGTGTTCGAAAATCAGGGGTACGTATTTTGGGACCCTTATTAGTAAGGATACTACTAGTTAGGGTACTATATTAGGATCCCCTATTTTCGGAAACTCCCACATTCTGCCTACCCACGCGGGTCGGTTTAGGGTTTAAGGTTTAGAGACAAGGTCAGTAGGTGGGAATGAGAAAGACTACCGAACCCATGACACAGCCGAAGTTCTTTGACCAGTTTTGAACCTTTCTCCTTCATCCCGCCAACCCTTAACTAAAAGGCAGTTTCAGAAAAGCAGAAGTTGCATAGTACAGAAGTCACAACGCAAAACACTAAAAGTATCATCTTCGTGATAAGATCCGCTGATGAACGGATGCCTGTATTGAAGAATCCCCAAGCTTGCCCAACAGCAGCCACGGTGCGATTGTGCCGTGTCGCGGCCAAGGAAGCCAGGCCAGTGGAACGCAAAACATCGTCGCGTCGGGTCGCTGACCAAGCACTCCTTCTTTAGGGAAGGGGTCCTACTTTTCGGGTATCATAGGGAACTAAAGGTTAACCTCTTAGTTATATAGGGATTATCTATAGGGGCTATACTATACTACCCCAAAAAAAGGTTAAAGGTTACCCACCCGGCTACTAGAGGGTTATAGGGTGTGCGAGCTCGGGCTAAAAGCTTAGGGGCCCTGAGAAATTAGATCGTTATGGGTTTGGGCTGGGGAGCTTTTTGATTTAGGGCCCGGAAACTTCGTGATTCGATTGCAACTTTGAACTGAGGCGCTCGGCAGAGGACCTAATGTTTTCATTGCGACGACGAGTACTATATATACCAGCTTTGACGTACAATCATCTGCGACCAGCAACAGCAAACTGACAGCTGACTACACGCAATGATCATAGTTATGTCACTACTACCCAGCAGAACCTGAGCAAAACCTGGACGTTGAACATTGTAGCCTTGCCCCCAAGCACCGCAACTATTCATGAAGGCCTTGGACCCGGAAAACCTCAAGCTCCAGATTCCAAACAGCCCATTGAGCATTGCGTAAGACAAGCTCAGTTTCCGCTTGGCTGGTGTGCTCATCGCCTGCAGATTGCGGAGCTGCTTTGGGATTGCACTGAAGTTTCCACGGTCCTGTTGAAATTTGGGGTGGGGTTTCCACACCTGCTTGCGTTGCGCTTCATCGGAGCTTCATTTCATAATCTTTCGTTTAGGCCTTGGAATTCGCATGCGACGTTCCAGGGCGTGCAGGATTAATCCTGTGGACTTTTCGCACACGCGGCCAAACATGTAGGAACACACTCACGTTGTTGACGAGTTCGAAAGTGCTGCAGGGCTCTTGCAGCCAGGACCCCAACCCCTGGTGCTTGCACCCAACCCCCAGAACCTAAACCCTTAACCCGGGCTCTTGGTTAAGCCTTACCAGGGCTCAGCGCTTATGTTACAGTACTAGGATTGAAGTCAAAAGTTGCGGGATAATCGTGAATCGTCTTTCGAATCGTCTTGTATGCCATAACTGTAGTTGAAACTATCGCTGGCGTCTGGCATGAAAGCCACTTTGTCGATTAGCGCTTGTAGCACGAAAGAACGTCGATCTATGTATGCGCTCTCACACAAATTCCAAGGAAGCAGCACAAGCCATCTGGCACTAGCATACAGCAGGACAAGACACACGACAGTACTGATCACTCCTGCCATGCTAGAAACTGAAAATCAATGAACCAAGCCCCTGATTTTTAGTGGCAATAAACCAAGCCCCTGAACCCTAAACCCTAAACCCCTAAACCCTAAACCCCTAAACCCTAAACTTTAAACCTTAAACCCCTGAACCATCAGCAGGTTGTGCGGCGTCTTGGAGGGCCTTGGGTGCTGGTCTGGGGTGTGTTCCCATGTGCCAATGGAGTGCTTAATGTCCCGCCCAGCACAGCAAACTAGCTTTAGTGTTAGTATGAGTATTAGGGGTTTGGGGTTATTCAGTTAATTAGTATTAGTGTGAATATGAGTATTAGGGGTTTAGGGTTAATTAAGTTAATTAGTTAGTCGTTAGTATTCGTGTGAGTATGAGCATCACAGGTTTAGTGTGAATAGTTTGGATTTTGCATCAGTTCAGTGTTTGTCGTTGGCTTTAAGCATTAGTAAAGAGGATGCCGCATGGCATGCATTTCTGCTCCAGCCAGACGCTGCTTTTAGGACTCGGCATGCATTAAACATGGTCCTCACTGACTGCACTCTTAGCAGTCTTAGCAGTGCTGAAGGGAAGACTACTATAAGCCTTCAACCCCAGAAGCGCTGATCCTGCTCCATACGGGAGTTTCCGAAAACACGGGACCCTAATATAGCACCCTAAATAGTAGGATCCTTATCGTAAGGACCCCAAATAAGGTACCCCTTAGTTTCGGAAACTCTAAATCCTAAACCCTAAATAGAACCCTTATAGATTCCTTTAAGGAACCCTTAAAGGATCCCCTGTTTTCGGAAACTCCCATTCAGGGACAAGCAGCTCCGGTGGCGGAGCAGCCGCAACGGCTGAGGCTCTTCCGGCTCATCGCAGGGAGCCTCAGGGGGATATAGGAGCCTAGGTCATTACCTACGGTATGCGCTTTTACGTGTTACCATATGGGTATTTGTCAAAATTAGGGTCCCTTTTGGATCCTTATTATAATACGGCACCTAATATATAGGGTGCCCAAAAGGGACCCCTATTTTGACAACTACCCATACAAGCAGAAGGCTTCTGTCTTTCAGGGTCTTCTAGGGCTCTCAGTGTTCGAGGGCTATAAGGGCTTCATGTCCGAAGTCAGTTGCAACTTTGAGCTTGGGATGCTGGATCCGCTCGAACCTGAAAACCCTTTACCAGAAGCCGAAAGGGGGTTAGGGACCCAAATCTCTAAACCCCGAAGCGTCAGATTGACGCCCGGCACCGCAAAAACCCTGAAAGCCAATGCTTGTAGCCCCAGACCCTCCAGGTTCTAAGGCCCGGAATGCCGAATCGTACAACTCGAACAACCCAAACCCGCTCCTGAGCTTGAAACCACGGGAACGCTCAAACACATGAAGGTAAACAGCTTATGGGTTGCATCGAACATATTTATGGGGGTAGCGTCGAACATATTTATGTCTCTTTGCACTTCAGCACCATTGCCTGGGCTCAATACTCAGAGGCCTGAGACTTGTGCGCCCTTTATTAGGCCCCATGTAAGTGAAATGCTAAGAACCCCGTTCAGTTTTATCATAGTAAAATTCAGCGCAACCCCAACAACACTAATCAGAGTGCCAGGGAACCCAAATCATCGAGCTCGGAGGAGCCTCGCGGCAATGTTTCTCTGGGGCGCCCCAAAACAAGGCTTTGGGGGCCTGCAATCCCAAGTTAGGGCGTTCGCTTTAAAACTTAAAGCCTTTTTTTGGGAGGCTTTATAGTGTTGGGTATGGTGCAGCTCTGGGGATTTTTAGACGGACCCATGCAGAATTGGTGGGTAAAATCAAGCGAACCTCTCCCAGGCATAGTCTTTGAAGTTGGGTTCATCTCAGAAGTGAGAGGAGCCGACCTTGTGCTAGAATGGCGTCGGGACTCTGGCGGCGCATACTCAAAGCGACGGTGTTTTGGGTAATGCGTATTTATTTGGGTGGTCAAGTTTGTCGAATTGCAAAAGGTGGATTGAAGATCGTAGGTGCTGAGCTCAAGATATTGCGTTAAGAGCTCAAGGCCACTGCAAACGCGAGACGACACCGCACGATCCGTCCTGGCAGCATGGTTGATGTAGGTGGATGCGCACTTATGCTTCAAATCATGGCTGCGATGTCGAGTCGATGAACGACATCGCAAGAAAGATGGAGGATGCGGTCTGAAGACACTCTATCCTAACGCCTTTGCCGACGTGGCAAGGCCAACAGGTCAAGAACAAACTCTGAGTGAAATGACGGCAAGCACCCCAGAAGAGCTTAACTGAGCTTGTAGCCTGTGAAGAACTGTCCTACTACTACTACTACTACTACTACTACTACTGCTACTACTACTACTACTACTACTGCTGCTCGTGAGTCAACGCAAGTGCTCTTGAAGTCGCAGCTCTCTCAGGGTTTCAACTCGACGAACGGAAAGTAAAGTAGGAACCTGATTAAGCAACCTTGGGCCTATATAGGGTTCTATAAGGGTTCCTTTAAAGGGTATACTATCAAGGGTTTGGGGGGCCTTTATTAGGGTGCTTTATATGAATCTTATTAATTTGGGGTAGGCCCAGGGTTTCTTAATCAGGTTCCTACATTACCAGTGCAGCCCGGGAAAATCCAAGTATGAGCCCCTCTCAGAAACTCCACCACCTGCCCCCACCTCCGGCCGTTTACAAACTTGCCTGCCGCTGCGCATCATTGCACCCCTTCACCGCACCCCTGAACCCTAAACCACCATTTTCAGCATAGGCTTCGGGTGTGTGCCGGAAAGCTGGAATCTTAAAGTCTTCACAAGACACCAGGCACCAGCAAACTTGAACCCTAAACCCCTAAACCCTGAACCCTTTTGCATCCGGGCTTGGGGAGTCGGCCGGGAAAGTCAGATTACCCTACACCCTAAACCCTAAACCTTCAACCCAAGACCGCAAGCCTGCGCTGCATGCCAGCTCGTCGGCGGATCTACGGATGCTTTTCTGGGGACTTCGCCCAAAGCTTCGAGCTGAGATGCTTGGATCTTCAGCACTGTTGCCTTCGCACTTTTTTTGCATATTCGAGTTCAGGGTCTATGGTCATATTGAACAACTTGACTTGAAATCGGTAGGGATGGCGATCGAGAGCTACTGTTTCGGACATTCAGAGAACAACTGCTTCTACCGGTTCTGCAAACAATTCCGACAGCGAGCAACACCCCTTACAACAATAAGCATACGAAGCGGAGATTCTGCTCTAAGTGCACTGGCCACAGGCTAAGACTAGTGGCTACAGTAAGAGTCTCTGAGCTAGCACACGGTGGCATGGCGACCTAATGTAAAGATGTCTGGAGGACGCTCCCTGAGCCAGCTGCGGGACGAGCTTGGGTTTGACAGCCCCAAGCACCAAAGACCCCGATGCCCGAAAGACTCCACGGTCTCTCACAGCTTACAGCCCGAGTGCTCTACCGACAAATCCGAAGATCATTATCGGGGCTTCGTGTACGTAGGGTTTGCAATGCGGGTTTTCCAGGTTCAAGGGATGTCTCTCAACCCTGCGTCTACCGCTCGGGAGCGCCGACCCGCCAGAAAGTTGCACAGGGTAGAGTGCTTCAGGGTCCGACTAAAGCCCTGTTGCAGCTGAGGAAGTCTACACTATGGCATCACGATTACAGCGCTGTAGGTTCAAAACGTGTGCTTCCTATGGTTTCCGTTCCCAATGCGAGTGAGTGGCAGGGCAATGACCTCGCAAAACAACTCCTGCAGGTCAAAGGAACCCTATACTACAGACCCAAAAGGGTGGCTGAAGGGGTTCACTTTGAGTTTCGGATCGGCGCCTTGCCAGCTTGGAAGCCTCAGGTAAAAGACTGAAACATAATATGATGTCAGATAAGAAACAATCACCCTGAACCTGCAACTCTGAATCCCAGAAATATCTTAATTTTGCAATCGGGGGCCACTCTCCTCCGAAGGTGAGACTGAGAGAAGCCGTGGCTGTGCCGGCGACGAGCTCGCGGAAGAAAGAACTCTTAAGACTGAACTCTTGCTGCAAAAAGACGCCTTTGATCTGGCCAAGCCCAGATACAAATACCTTTACTAAAGGGGCGTTAATAATTACCTATACTATTTTGGGGGGTTTCTTGTTATAAATGTGTTATAAAATAACCCAAAACCCTAATCAATTTTTTTTGGCCCCTATAGTACAGCCCGAAGAATCGAAGAACCTGAATTCAATGTAAAAGTTCTCTGTCGTCCGTGGCTCGACCGTCTAGGCATCAGCCCCGACAGAGCCCCATGATTCCCCCTTTAGGGTTTAGTGTAGGCGATGCTAGTGATTCGGAAGAGAAGAGGCCTGGGGGAGTGCGTCACTGGGCAGCTAGGAGGCCATTTGCAGGGAAATTGCGTTCGGTGAACAACCAGAACAACCAGCCATGCATTCATACAAACATGCGTCCATCCGTTCTTGCATTCATCCATGCCCTTGCGTGCACTGTCATCCAGTCGTACATGCGTCCATGCATTCATGCATGCATGCATGCAAGTACAGACACATAGGCACAAAGATACATGCATGCGCGTACAAACATGGAACATAGCATACCATACTTCGCAGGTACATGCATGCACACATGCACACTTGTTACTTGTACACATGCACGCACACATACCATACAGGCGCACACATGTGGAATCATGCCGACATACATACGAGCATACACACATACATACATACCTACCTGCCTACATACATACATACAGACAAGACACACAGACCTACAAACATGAAACCAATCAAACATGCATGTATCCATCCCTCCATGCATACAGGCGCGCCCACACATGATTGGTCTTCATGCGCACAGGCCATAGCCATGGCGAACATGCTTGTGACCGTGTTGATCCCCGGCCAGTTTCCAGGACGGCATCGTGATGACAAACTCCGATGCGGAGAATCTGCTGGCCCATGGCATGTTTCCAATTCTCGTGGATCAGGCCTGATAGGTTGTTCGTGGGAATCATTCGACCGGCCATTGCCGGAATCGCCTGCTCAGCGAAAGATGGAGCGATTTGTTGACAAATATTAAACCTCTGATACCACTGCACGTGAAGGCGCGGACCTTAGGTGCTTGACTACTACGACCGCTAATTACATCTGCTCGTGTATGTCTGCGCACTTCGTTTGCTTCATTCGGAATACCGTTACAATTACACAGTTTAGCATGCATGTGCAGGCGTAATGGCACAAATGCGTTTTGCAACGAAACGTGTTTTACACATGCACACTCACACTCACGACCAGTTCAAGCACATGCCCGTGCATTCATGCACACATACATACACACATACATGCATGCATAAACATATCGCACACACCGCACGATCGCAGCTCACACGTACTTCATGTAAGCATACAGTCACTATCTCAGCTTGCAATATGCAGCATGCATTGCATTGCGACTACCTTGGAACTACAGTCCTATGAGGCCACGTTCCATGTCACGTCACACTGTGTTGAGCTTCACTCCGCATGAGAAAGACAGTTCGCCGAAGGCCAAGCACCAGATAGTGAAAGCGAGAACCGTGCACAATGGCATGTGCGCCAGTACACGTGGCAGTGGTTTCTTGACTGGCCTGCGGCGATTCTTCTCCACCACTCTGTCTGTTGCATAAAGCTTACAGTCACACGCGCACATTTTCACAGTTTGGGGCTTGCAGAAAAGATGTACGCCCAAAGCCTAAGCCGGAGGGCTCCGTCTGCTTCACCTAGGTGCGATGAAGCCTTGTTTCGGGGTGTGGTTTCGGCAACGACATACCACACTTGACATAAATCTCGAAGGTCGTGCATTCAGAATCCCGCTCAAGTTCACTGAAGGATGTCCGCACTCCACATCATCCCCGGTCGAGGGTTCAAAAGGGCACCGGGGCCTTCCGACTACATAACTATCACAGTGCCACATCTATTTGCGCACACTGCAAAATGCTACAGGGTATGAGCTAATTCCGTGCTCCCATGGGTCATGCACTAAGAAGACTTGTTTAGTTTGCCACAGAAGTCGTCTGGAACGCTGTGCATCACATGAGATCGGCTTTGAAGAATCGCAGAAAATGCGGGGATTGCATCTGCAGACAATAGCCATGAAACTTAACAGATGTAATATAAAATGAACCATGAGTATATACCAGATAATAAAGAATGAATGTGCATATATACAAATATATGTATATATGTAAGTATATGATAGAACTACATGTATATATATATATTTATATGTATATACATATGTACATATATATATATATAATTATATTATATACACATATATATATACATATTTAAACACACGTTATCAGAACTCATGGATGTGGCATGCATGAGGAAGTGGCAGCCAGGCTACCGGAATCATGGAAAAAACGTCCTCAACCTCACTCTCACAATCCCAACGCTCACCCGATAACTTCAGAAACTCCGGACCCCCCGACAACACGGCAAAGCCTGGGAAACCTGAAGCTCCTCTGTACGCGCTTCGCGTGCCGTGCTAGACATAGCTCGAACTACGGTACACCTGCCATCTTTGGTCCTGATGCAATCCACATACTAATCCAGGGCATGCCATGTTTTGGAAGCGGCCCCGGTCCACCACCCTGTCTTTCGAGTGCTCCGTTTGGCTCGGAGCTCAAGCTCAAAGCTCGCAACCGTCAGGTCGGGCTTAGGCTGGGGTTCCCAGAAACTCCAATATCCCTTAATTAAAGAATATACTATAAATCATATTAGGGATCCTGCCATGTTTTACGGAATATTCATTAAGGGGTACTGGAGTCTCTGGGTTTAGGGTCTAGGAGTAAACAAAACGACGTGAAGCACTTAGCAGGTACTGTAAGGGTTATATGACCAGGGATTCTATAGGGGTAGGATAGTAGCGTTTCTTTTTAGGGTGTGGGCTGCAGTCTTGATTTGACGGGCAACCGAGGTGTGAGAAATCGTGTCAAGCAGGACTCCATGAATGCCCCGGGCATAAATCCATAACTAAACCTTTAGACCCTAAGCCCCCTCAAACGAATTCTTCTATCCTTAGCATTAACCGAGGAATTAGGATCTGGGGTGTCGAGCTGTTCCTCGCACGAGTCAGGGCTCTCAGGGGTTTTACGCCTCTTTCGCTTGTGCTTGATGTTCAGGTTTAAGGTTCAGAGTACATTTAGTGCATTTTTCTCTGAGGCATCGTCATCTTTCACAACATGTCTCTGTTGACGAGCTCAAGCTATCGACCATGCTCGTGGCACTATCCAATCCTCTATAGAAATCCCCAACAGGAACCGGGCGCAGGGCCGAAGAGCATGCTTGCTGGAGCTGTATCAGAGGCACAATGGAGGCTGCCACAGAGCTTGGCTCTGGCACAACAGCGTCTGCCAATGCGACCCGCAACGAGAGCAGTAGAAAAAAACAAAAAAAAAAAAATATATATATATATATACAGACTTAAACTGGGCTCGACTAAGCTGGTGCATCTGTCGGCTGGCTTCAGACGGGTCGCACCGGAAAAGTCTGCAAAAAAGGGTACAAGGGACGCAGCTGGGTACTCAAGTTATCAAGACGGGATAAGAGCAGAATCTAGACCTCTGAACGATGACCCCCGTCCTTTGATTCGGAAGCGTATAGCACGGATCCTTCATGATCCTTATATCAGGGCCCGGAAGTTAAGCCAAGGGTTGTGCTAATCAGCTACAATCTTGTGGACCAAGGTTCAAGGGGCGAGGGTGGATCCTTGGAAATCCTTTGACTTGGTGCTTCGGGCCCCTTCAAAAGTATCTATCTATCTGTCTGTCTAGCTATCTATAGTGTGGGTGTGTGTGTGTGTGCGTGTGTGTCTCGGGGTATGTCTGTAGGCAGGTAGGTATCTACTCAGAGCTATTGCCATAGTGACAACTGCAAGATTGCTGCAAGGGGGTTTAGGCTTTTGGGTTTACTGCGATTCAGGTTTGAGCCGCAGTCCTTCATAGCACCTGTTCTCTGGGCTCCATCGGAGTTCTCCGGTTTGAGCTCCTCAGCTGGGGATCAAGGCTT